GCCATCCAGGAATGAAGCAGCCATTTTCACGTCAGCAGAAAGTTGTCCACAGGACACTGTCCATGTAGCAAAGGGCTCTAGCATCTTCTTAGGTGGTTCCAGGGTAGGACTTATGGAAAAAGAGGCTACCTGCTCATGGATATGATAGGTACCTCCCTGCATTCCCCCAGTAGCTTGTTCTTGAATGAACCATTTCCATTTTATTATGGAACTATTTTGGGCACTGCCTTCCTTATTAGAGTGTTTTCTGACATCACCCAAGACATTATGGGTATTTCAGATCTCTTGATGATTTTATGTCATCTGTCATTGAGGCAGTCTCAATCAATGCCCAATAGCAGGCGAGTAATTGCCTTTCAAATAGCATGTATCATGATGCAGCATCTGGAAGGTTTCTAGTCCAGAATCCCAGTGGTTGCTGTAGGGCAGCATTCTCAGGTTTTTCCCATAAGCTCCAGTCCTCATAAGCACATGTGTAAGACACCTCAAAATCATGTCTGAATGTGGATTATAAGGGCCTAAAGCCATGGCGAGTGAGACTGCTTTCTATAATTCAGACATAGCCTGCTGTTGCTGTGGTCCCCATTCAAATGCAATTTCCTTTTGAGTGGTTTTATGGATGGGGGCCAGCAATATTCCCAGATGTGGAATATGTGTTCTCCAAAATTCAAGTAAACCAACCAAACGTTAGGCCTCCTGCTTAGTCTTGGGGGTAGGTAGCAACAACAACTTGTTCTTAGTTGCCTGCAGAATGTCACTGGTGGCTCCTGCACAAGTTATTCCTGAGAATTTCACCATTTGGGTGGGGCCTTGGATTTTTGCTGGATTTATTAACCAGCTTCTGTTGGTCATATGGGCCACCACTGTATTCAAATCAGCCCTAGCCTTTTCATCAGTGTTTGACATTAACATAATATCAATGCAATGTATCATTACACTTGAGATCTGCACCAAATCTCTTTTAAACAATGACAGTAAGCTGGTGAATTCAGATAACCCTGTGGCAATGTAGTGAAAGTAAGTTGGGATCCTTCCCACGTGAAAGCAAACTGCAGCTGGCTCTTTTCTGAGACTGAGATGGAGAAAAAGGCATTTGCAATTCAATCACTGAGTACCATTCTCTTTAGCCTGCTGTATTTTCTGCACCGTTGATACCATGTCTGGAACAGCTGAAGCCACAGGTGGCACTACTTTTTTAGGTCTCAGTAGTCTACTGTCAACCTCCATGAGCCATCTGCCTTTTTCATGGGCCATACAGGGCTGTTATACAGAGAATTTGTTGGCATCAACACTCCAGCCTTTAGCATGTCTTTAATCAAAGTGGTAATCTCCTTTTGTCCACCAGGTAGTCTATACTGTTTCAAATTAACAACCTGAGTGGGTTTGGGCAATTCTAATCGTTCCCATTTAGCATGTTTAATCAATACTGGACTACGGGCATACTTACTTGTCTTTGGTTTTACAATATCAGGTAGAGGGAGTTTTCTCCAATTAGACATATCATCTATACCAGTAATACATTCAGGTAAGTGAGATGCAACTGCTTTATACAAGATCTGTTTAAATCTTCCAATTCTCATCAAAACTTTCACCTTAGTCCCATCAACCGTTGCATTCCCATATCCCCCTAGTCTAACCTTAGGCCCCTTCAATATTTTATTGACAATTTTGAGATTACAATACCTTGGGCTCCTGTGTCCAGGAGCCCCAAGAAGTTCTCTTCCCCACCCCCAGGCCATTTCACTCACACATGTGCATATGGCCTCAGGTCCCCTGCTGAGGGCTGGACCAGAATACCCTGATCCCCTCTTCAGTCCTTATCTTGATCAACTAGTTGAGCCTCTGCTTCAAATGGTCTCAGGTGGGAATTCCCATCATTAAATACCTCCTGACTGGGGTGAATAGAATGGACTTGTTTAGGCTTCTTTATCATTGGGGGACCAGCAGGAGTTTCCGTTGGTCCACCCAACCTCCTGTAGTGCTGCATTAGAATCTTTGTCTCAATTCTATCAATGTCTGTTATATTCATCCCATTTCTTAGTAACCATCTAAAAATCTCTGTCCTGCTGGACAGTGGATTCTCCATTGCCTCTTCCCATTCTCCTCTGAATTACCCTTATGTTTTTTGCATCTGTAAGACCCATGTGGAGAAGCTGTGCCAACAGATCTGACAAGGCTTCTTGGATTGCTGCTTTGTTTAGCAGTAGCAAGGTACATGGGGTGCCTGTGTAGAAGGAGCTCCCTTGATTACCATATCTGCCATGACCTGTGTAAGAGGCGTACTCTTTGGATCCTGATCACCATAAAGCCATTCCAGCATGGCCTGCATAAGCAGCACATTAGCTGCTTCCTCTGGAGTGTTCTATTAGGTATTTAGAGAGGAAGAGGGGCAGTTTCCCTTCTCAGAGTAAACAAATCTCACTGCAAATTTTATCCAGTCCACCAGGCTGGCCGTCCCCTCTGAGTTAACCTGCTGTGTAACTGGATCTTGTATCATCATTTGTGACTGTTCCATAGTGAGTTGTGGGTCTTGCATCAACCCAAACATACTCTTCTATTCTGAAGCATTCAAAACTAAAGACACTGCCCCTAAATTAGTCACTTTCACAATCCATTTTAGTAATGGTTTCTCAGGAAGCTGGCGATACTAATCTACAAATTGAAGCAACTCCTTTGCACTATACTTCCTGGTTTCTATAGTTTTTGGTTTTGCCCGTTTCCTTCCCCACAGTACCTTCTGGTAACAGTGGTCCTAGGGGAACTTCCTGTTGTTCTGACATGATTTTTCCTTTCTGGGTTGGCCCTGAGACTAGTGGTCCTAGCTCTGACTAGACTGGATCTGGGCTTGGTTCAGTGCTAAAATCAGCCCCTACTTTCTTTTTCCCTGCCATTGCAGCTATTACTGATAACAGAAACCAGTTATATGTCTGGCCCTTTTTTTATCACTCTGTATTACCATATGCATCCAACTAGCTAATTCCTCAGGAGTTAGATCCACCACTCTTAAATCCCATGAATAGCTTTTGCCTTGGAGTAACTGATTGTAACGTAACAGCTGCTTCAATCCATGGGTGTTTTTTTATCCAATCTAGAAACCAAAGGCTTCTTATTATCTCCTTTATCCTCTTTTTTTCCCAAAACCATACATTCCAGTGAGCCTGGGCCCTTGCAGTGAAATCCACCATTCTGACACCAACTAAATGAATAATTCCTTTTATAAGGATCAGCACAAAGCTGGTTCCTATGAGGCAGAGGTTAAAGATGTCCCACATGTCCAGCTTTTCCAAGCTGCTGTACCACTCCATCATCTCTAACATCAACTACTCCTCCTCTCCTCAGCACTCTCCCTCCTGTCTGGGTTCCATAATTCACTGCAATGTCTTACAGATCCCATGAACTGTATCAAGAAAATAGCTCATGTGGTTGTGGACACTAGCAAGTCCCAAATCTGTGGGTCAGGCATAGGCTTCTCCTGACCCATGTGGCTACAGGGGCTGACAAATCCAAACTGGCAGTTCAGACCACAGGCTGCTGGCTCACATGGCTGTGGAAGCTGGTGAATCAGGTCAGATGATAGGCCACTGGCCCACGGGGCTGCAGAGTCCAGCGAATCCCAGAATCAGCAGGTCAGATGGCAGGCCTCTGGCTGAAGTCCCAAGAACTCGAGGTTAGATGATCATGAACTGGACGTGGGATCCAGATGCAGAGAGAGATCCCTGATAGAGCATCCACATATATACCTTAGATGCAGGCCACACCCCAGGGAAGGGCATAACTTGAGTAAGGGTGGGACTTGAGTCATGCCCTCCTGCAAGGCTGCGACCCAGGACACATCCCACACTAATTCTGCCTCATCAATATGGAGAGGTCAGGATCCACAGCACATAAAATGGAGAACAGCCACATAATACTTGGAATCATGGCCTAGCCAAGTTGACACACAACCCCAACCCTCAGAGGTTCCATATATCTTTTTTGCATAGTCCCACCCAATCATTGTGTGTGAGTCACAAAGACCATGGCTAGAAGGGCTACACTAAGTAATTCATTGCACTGCAGTCACTAACATTCACTTCTGCTCAGCTAGTAAGTGGCAGTGTTTGGATTCAAACCCAGGCAAGCTTCAAAGTCCAAGTTGTGCATAGGGACTAGAAATAGGATTCAAGTCAGAGGGCCTTAATTGCTACGTTGAAGAGAATTGGCTCTGTCCTGTAAGTGATGGGGAGCTGCTGAAGGGAATTTAAGCAGGGAGAGTGACCAGGAAACAGAAAATCTGGGATTACAGTCTCTACTCTTTAGCTAACTGATTGTGTGACTTCAGGCAAATAAATCGCTTTCCCATTTTGGGCCTATTTTTTTCATCTGTAAAATGAAGGATACAATAAAGGGCAGATTTTAAGGATTCCTTTCACCTCTTTTAGTTCTTTGCTTTTCTAACTGGGGACAAGGAGGGGACTAGATTCTGACTGGTGAGGCTGGTAGGCACTCTCTTCATGTGCTTTGTTTTTCTTTATACATTCTGTTTCTTTTGCCTGGAATTCACTCTTGCTTCTCTCCTGCTTTTCCAAACACTTTCTGACTACGGCCCCCCTCCCTTCCCTGAACTCCTATAGTGCTGCTAGCTGGCCTCACTCTGGCCCATAATTATATACTATCTTGTATTCTTTGCTAATAGTTTCCTTTGTTTTACTTTTTCTGTACTTTGGGCCACTCCTCTGCTTCCACTTTTTAGTTTTTCTTATCCCCTATCTGGGGCCCTAGTGGCACAGTGGGTAAGCATTTGGCTGCTAACCAAAGGTCAGCAGTTCAAATCCACCAGCCACTCCTTGGAAACCCTATGGGGTAGTTCTACTCTGTCCTATAGGGTCGCTATGAGTCGGAATCGACTCAATGGCAATGGGTTTGGTTTGGTTTTTATCCCCTATCTACGACCTAACAGTGTTGACAACAAGGGGGTATTAGAGAAAATCTTTTTAATTATCTTCTTTCTTTTCTGGCAGTGTGTGTGAGCACAGCCAAGAGAATCTTATGACCCCCTCCAACATGGGCGTGATCTTTGGGCCCACCCTGATGAGAGCTCAGGAGGACACTGTGGCCGCCATGATGAACATCAAATTCCAGAACATCGTGGTAGAAATCCTAATTGAACACTTTGATAAGGTAAGCATTTTCCATCCTCATTACCACTCCTCTAGCCATGGTACTTTCCCCTAGCCACCTTTTAGGGTAGTGTCTCCCCAGCTAGTTCAAGTTGATAATGGAAGGATATCCCATTATGATATAATGACATTTAATGGCGATTCTGACTCTGTAAATTTCATTCATTCAGCAAGTATTGCTTCAGCATGTAACAATTTTATTATCAGGCATCATGCTAGATACTCGGGATATAGAAGAAGAAAAAGTCACTGTCCATGCCTTTAAGGAGTCAATGTAATATGCAGATAGACATGTAAACAAAGGAAAATGATAACTATAAAACCAGTTGTATGTATAATGAAACTGTGAAGAAAGCAATACTTATTTAAACCTGATCTTGTTCCAAAAGAATTTAGAGTGGCTGGCTATGGCAAATAAAAATACAAGGTAGCATAAGTTACAAGTAGGACAAATGAAAAAAGAAAAACAAGGGTAGAAGCACAAAATGAACCCAAGAATGAGGTTGGGACAAGATATATTTATTGATAAGTCTGTACACGAACTATAGATGGTCCTACATTTAGCTCTAAGCTTTCTAGCAGCCAATGATATCCTAACAAAGCATAATGCAGTAAAAACTTTTCTGCAGTGGGTGCCTAATAATACAGCCCTGGTGATATCCCAGTTCAAATCCCAGCTCTGCCACTTGTTACAGGTTAGTCGGCTGAGACCCCAAAATACAGTGCTCTAACACAAGAGAAGTTTACTTCTCAAAGAATAGTCTAGGGAGGTTGTCTAGGGATGGTATAGTGACTAGATGGTGGCATGGACTGTATCTTTTCTTTCTTGTTGCTCTGCTGTCCTTACGATGCTGCCTTCATCCCCATGATATACCATACTTTTATGCAAATAATGTGTGCCTTCTACATTTGTTTGCCAACTGCGCCCCCCCCCCCGCTATTTTTGTGAGTGCGCTATGCTAATTTTTTTTTTTTACAGCAACACTTGCGTGGAAGAGGATTGGCATGGCGGCACTTGTGAGGGCACCTCATGGGGGGAGGGTGCAGCTGGCAAACAAACGCAGAAGATGCACATTATTTGCATAAAAATACGGTGCTATCTTTTGGAAAGGGTGAAAGAAAGGAAATGGAGGGTACACTCATACCCGTTAAGGGCATGACCTGTAAGTCACACATACCACTTTTATTCACATACCATTTGTCAGAATTTAATCTCATGGTCGTATCTAGCTATAAGAGAGGCAGGAAAGTGTAATATTTATTTGAAGCAGCCATGTGCCCAGCTAAGACTTTGGTTCTTTTACTAAAAGAAAGAGAGACTCGATACTGGAGAACAACAGGCATTCTCTCCCATATTATCTGTGTGACCTTTAGAAACTTATGTAACTTCTCTGATTATCATTTTTCTCAGCTGAAATGTGAAGATGATAATAAATAACTACTATGTGACAGTCACTGAGCTAGTAAGTGGGAGAGCTGGAATTTGAACCAGGCAGCCTGGCTCAGAGTTCAAATACTTAATCACTGCATTGCTGCCTCACTAATCATGTGGATACAGTGATATTATTGAGTATGTACAGGACACTTTGGGATTATCAACGAGGAGCACTTAAGGAGAAGTAAGGTCTATGACATGTACTGAAGATGGAAAAGAAGGAAACAGAGAAAGGACATTTCAGGGAGATGGCCCAGTATGAACAAAGGCCTGGAGCCTCAACCCTAAGCCATTTGGTATTGTTGGAACATGTAGTGGAAATAGGAATGTCAGGAGATGAGATTGGAGCAGACAGGGGCCAGGTTCTAAAGAGACTTATTGCCTGGTTGAGGAGTTTGGAATTGTTCCTGCAGGTGATAGGAAAGCATTGCTTAAAAGTAGAATAGTACAGTGATCAGACTTACATTCAAGAGATGTTATCTCAGCTATAGTATGAAGGATTGATTGCAGAGAGAGAGACTAGTGCCATATTCTGGTCAAGAGATAATTGTAGTCTGAGTCAGGGCAGTGGGAAGAGGGCCAGGGAGGCAAAATAGCAGGACCTGGTGATTGGAAGTAGAGGATATGGGAGAGAGAGATTTCTGAATCCTGGATTTTTGCCTTGGGTGGATGGGCCTGTCCTTAATACATATAAGATACACAGAAGGCAAAGGTTTTGGGAAATGGTGAAATGCTCAGTTTGTTGAAGATTGGATTTGAAATTCCTGAAAGATATTCACGGAGCAATATCTAGCAAGTCGTTGGCTGGTGTGAGTCTAAAGCAGGTGTCAGCAAACTTTTTCTTAAGTCCAAATCAGCTCAACTGCAACTAACAACAAGAGTAAATATTTTAGGCTTTGCAGGCTATAGATCTCAAGCAACTATTCAACTGTCTTTGTAGTGGGAAAGCTGCCATAGACAGTGTGTAAACAAATGGGTGTGAATGTGTTCCAATAAAACTCTATTTACAAAAACAGACAGCATGCCTGTGGGCTGTAATTTGCTTACCCTTGGTATAAAGCCCAGATGTAATTTGATTTGTGTCTTTGAATTTAAAGTGGGCGTCTTGTAGACAGCATATAGTTGGATCAGGTTTTGTTGTTGTTGTTGTTGTTTGGTCCATTTTGCCAGTCACTGCCTTTTGATGAAAGAATTTAATCCATTTACTTTTAAAGTAATTGCTGGTAAGGAAGGACTTACTTCCTAAATGAATAATTTCTTTTATAAGGATCAGCACAAAGCTGGTTCCTATGAGGCAGAGGTTAGAGATGTCCCAAATATCTAACTTTTCCAAGCTGCTATACCACTCTTATCACCTCTAACATCAACTATTCCCTCTCGCCTCAGTACTCTCCCTCTGTCTTTGAGTTCCCTAATTTTTTGCAACGTCTCACAGAACTCACGGACCATATAAAGGAAATGGCTCACGAGGTTTTGGAGGCTGGCAAGTCCCAAATCTGTCGGTCAGGTGTAGACTTCTCCTTGGCCCTCAGTCTCTGCCCAAAGGCACTCAACTTTCTTGCTCCATGCGCCAGGAAGCCCACTGCGTCGTCTCCTGCTGGTCTCTGCCGCTGGTTTCTGCTGCAGGTCTCTCCTTCTTCAGTGGTGGTAGGATCCTTCTCTGCTCTGGAACTGGCTCTCTTTTAAGGCAAAAACTGACCAATCCCCTTGGTAGGCCGCCATTACCCTATCACACAATCGCCTGGGTTGGAGTTACAAGACCATGGCTATAAAGGCCACGTACACAAGTAATTAATCCACCACACTTCCTTATTATACATTTATGATGTCAAATATAATCTTCATAGTGACCACAAGGAAAATATCTAAAACTACACACAAAAGAAAATGAGAAGGGAATCAAAGTGGTTCGCTACAAAAAAAAAAAAAAAAAAAAAACTAAACACAAAAGAAGGTGGTAATAGAGAAAATGGGGGACAAAAAAGATAGGACATACAGAAGACAAATAGCAAAATGTCAGAAGTAAGTCCTTCTGTATCAGTAATTACTTTAAAAGTAAATGATTTCAAGTCTCTAATCAAAAGGTAGAGATTGGAAAAATGGAAAAAAAACCACCCTGATCCAACTATGCTGTCTACAATAGACCCACCTTATTTTCAAAGATGCAAATAGAGTAAAAGTGAAAGGATGGGAAAAATATTACATAGAAATAGTAACCAACTGGAAGTGGAGTGGCTACACTAATATCAGACAAAATAAACATTAAGTCAAAATCTGTTATAAGAGACAAAGAAGGGCATAATACATTTGATAAAAGGGGCAATTCATCAAGAAGACGTAGAAATTAAAAACATATACGTACCAAACAACCACCATAAAAACCTAACCCATTGCCTTGAGTCAATTCCGACTCATAGCAACCCTGCAGGACAGAGTAGAACTGCCCTATAGGGCTTCCAAGCAGCGACTGATGGATTTGAACTGCTGACCTTTTGATTAGCAGCTGAGCTCTTAACCACTGTGCTACAGGCCTCCGTACTAAACAACCAAAAAAAAAAAAAAAAAAAAACCAAACCCGTTGCCATCGAGTGGATTCCCACTCATAGCGACCCTATAGGACAGAGTAGAACTACCCCATAGAGTTCTCAAGGAATGCCTGGTGGATTCAAACTGCCGACCTTTTGGTTAGCGGCTGTAGCACTTAACCACTACGCCCAGGGTGCTAAAAAACAGCGCCTCCAAAATATAATCAAATATTGACAGAATTGAAGGAAGAAAGAGAGAGTTCTACTGTAATAGTTGGAGCCTTCAATACACCATATTCATGATGGATACAACATCTAGGCAGAAGATCAGTAAGGAAATAGAGGACTTGAATAATACTATAAACTAACTAGACCTAACAGACATAAATATATGTGTGTGTGTGTATGTATAAAAAAAAAAATTGCTGTCGGAGTCAATTCTGACACATAGCGACCCTATACGACAGAGTAGAACTGCCCCATAGGGTTTCCAAGGAGCACCTGGTGGATTCAAACTGCAGACCTTTTGGTTAGCAGCCATAGCTCTTAACCACTATGCCACCAGGGTTTCCACATGTATATGTGTATGTGTGTATCTGTCATGCCACCCAACAACAGCAGAATACACATTCTTCTCAAGTGCCCATGGAACATTCTCCAAGATAGAACATATGCTAGACCACACACACACACAAAAAGCCTCAAAGCATTTAAAAAATTAAAATCATAAAAAGAATCTTCTCTTACCACAATGGATGAAACTAGAAATCAGTAAAATAAGGAAATCTGGAAAATTTACAAATATGTGGATATTAAACCACACACTCTTAACCAATCAATGGATCAAAGAAGAAATTACAAGAGAAATTTGAAAATACATAGAGACAATTGAAAATGAAAACATAACATACAAAAACTTATGGATGCAGCGAAGGTCGTGCTCACGAGGAAATTTATAGCTGTAAGCACCTACATTAAAAAGAAATTTCTTAAATAAATAACATAAATGTATAAATTTACACCTTGAGGAACTAGGAAAAG